TTCCAGTTCCGTTTGTGTCCGCTTGGCATCCGCCCACTCGGTAGCCGCCTTGTCCCGCTGGAGCTCGCTGTCCGCCAGTTTCGCTTGGATCTCGTCGCGCAATTGAGTTATACGCACGAACTCTTCGAGCGCATAATCTCGCCCAGCAGACGCTTTCTCGAGCGACTCCCTGGTATCCTTCAACTCCTCAGAGAGTTGAGCCAGAGCTACATCCGGTGACGAGGGAGGTAAATTTGGCGCGGGGGACCCTCCGCGCGCCGACCCTAAGGCGGATCCGCCATGGGTGGATCCCACATAGTCGTTGGTTACCACCTCTTCCTGGGTCAGGCGCAACTCGTCACGGAGTCGATCCAAGTTCGCGTCCGCAGCTGCCCTAGCAGTCTAAGAATCCTCCAGATCTCGCTCGAGGTCGTGGATCCGGGATTGGAGCTGGTGGATCTCAGATCCAGCGAGCGCCATCTCCCTAAGGAGATGGTAGTTGTCATCTCGCATGCCATCTCGTTGACGGGAGGCGCGATCCAGCCGTCCGGTCAGGTCGCGGATCTCGACCGCTTGATCAGCCAACAAGAGTCGTAGGTCCTGAGAACGAGGGGCCGCACGGTGCTCCCACCCCTGGATCCCCATAGTCTGGTCATGGCCCTGGACTCGCAAGGTTTGGAGTTGGGTGGCGTGCAAAGACGCAGCTTGGTTGCTAACATCTTGGGCCGTCTGGAGCTCCGCCGTCAAGGTTTGCACCCGATCGGAAAGTGCTTGGGCCAGGGTACGCAGATCGGTGGGCGACATTGAAGAGGGGCTGACCGGAGGAGTGGCGGATGGAGCCTTGCCCGGCGATTGACTGGTACGCTTGGCGGGAGACATATGTCACGAAGAGGAGAAGGTGGTTGTGGATGCTGGTAGTGCACGTCATGAACGCTGTTGTGCAGCGCCGACAACGTACAGGAGGCGATTGTGGTGAAGTGCTCTCTCAGAAATAAGAGAATGGACCTGACGCGGGGTCACTATCCCGAATCAGTGACAATTTCAAGTGATTAGAGAGGATTTGGATTGTCTGGCACGGATGCAAGTTGCCTGCGGTGGATTAGCCATGACGAGCAACACCTCGTACGAAATGACGATGGATCTGGTATGAGTGATGTACGGGAAGGCGAGATCCACCAAGACTTATCTCGGATCCACCCTTACCTGGATTCACTTAGATGGATATGGGATATACTATATAAGGGTGGATCGAGTGTGGATCCTATGAACGAATGATGGTAGGTGCCCTCTGAAGGTGGATCTGGTAGCCACGGCTAACAAGAAGTCCGGATCCACCGCGAGGTGTCCCGGATCCCATACTTCCGAATTCGGATCCAAGGAGGGAGGATCCCGCATGGAGGGACCTGGATCCAGGGTACAGGGATGATGGAGGTAGTGGATCTCGAACTTTCGTGGGACAATGGAGATCACAGACGGTTGCAAGATGATGTAGGATGATTGGAGAGCTCAGATCCACGACGAGTGTGCTCTTACAGTGAAGTGGATCCAAGCGACCTGGATCCGGATGAGTGTACCCATAATAGGGTGACCATAATGATTACGCCATGGATCCGGTGGATCTGAAGATAATACAGCTGGGATGGTGGGTCAAGGGAAGAAGGGACATGCAGCCGAGCCTGGTAGGGAATTTAACAAGTGAAAGACATAGAAGGTAGAAATCCAGGCAGGTATAGGCTTAAGTATCAATACAGACCCCAATTTGCACAGTAACATGCAAGTGCCTTCCTGCCCTCAAGAACCGGAACTACATTGGCCGTACGAGCTCGGAGAAGGTTGGGAATTGCGAATCTAGTGTTGGTAGTGATAACTGGATAATACATTGGCCAGATCCTACAACCTAGTGAGCTTTTCCTTTACTTGTGCAGATCCGACAGGTTAACCGAATTTACTACTTGGTCGGTTATACCCCAGAGGCTCTCAACTCTCAAGATCCCGTCACAGGAGTCGGCAAGTACAACGTAAAGGCAAGGGACACAACCGCAAGGCAACCCTACGGCCAGATCCACGATCTAGGCCCCGGATCCATAAGCTCGAACATTCGCTTAGGATTCGGAACTATCCACGGACGCAGAGTGAAGATTTCCACTGCTGCTCCACCCCATCCCCACGTCTCGCCAAGACACTCAAGCTTCACCACTTGAACTCTTCGGAAGTTACCCAGAGAGCAAGATCCCGCCCTACCGACGGATACACAAGGTGAGGAAAGTTCAGCAGAACACGGATCATCGGGGGACCCCCTCCGTTAGTCGGTGTCTGGGCGCAGTTGGTACGTTGGATCCGGCAATCTCGCAGCTTTTGCTGATCCCGCTACACCACAATCTCACCAGGGCGTCTCGTTCCATGAACGATAGCCCACGCTTGGACAAGCTTAAGGGTAGCACCCTTTTAGCTCAATGGTTAAGCGTTGGCTTTGAGAGCCAAAGGTCGGTGGTTCGAACCCACCAGGGCACAGCCCTCTCGTTCCATGAACTGTTGTCCTTGAATGGACAAGCTTAAGGGCAACGCCCTTTCAGCTCAGTGGTCGAGCGCTGGTCTTGGAAGCTACAGGTCGGTGGTTCAAATCCAGCCCCGGGCGACCCTCTCATACCATAAGTAGTCCGTTCTCGGACTGACGTACGGTCATCGACCTTATAGCTCAATGGTAGAGCTCCGGCCTGGCAAGCCATAGGCCAGTGGTTCGAACTTCGTCCGGGACACCACTTTCGCTATTACAGCGCATCCACATTTGGATCATGCTCATCGATCAAGTTGTTTCAAACCAACTATGCGTCTATCGAGACGCTTGTGCCTGAACCTTGTTCAGCACAACACGAAGCATCTGCTTCCATCGGGACGATGTCCCTAGCACCACGAGGTCTCTCCGCCTCCTGCTCCCGCTGCGAGCACCGCTCATACGTACGAGCTGGCTGCTGCAGCCACTGGTCAGAGCCTGAGCTCAACTACTGACCTGATCGCTCCCCACTCTAGTGGGAGGCGCCCAGCGCCTGGTGACGCTGTCGCACGCCATGGTGGCGCTTCGCACATGATGTGCCCGGTCGTAAGCGTCAGCAACGTCAGGGAAATCTTGCCGGTGGATAACCTCAAACTCCCATGAGTTCTGTGAGTGAGGGTAACCCCTCCACTTCACCAAGTACTGGGTACGACCGTGGCGTCTACGCCGCGCCACAAGGCGTTCCACGTGAAAGTGGAGCTCACCATGCTCATCGAGCAGAGCGGGAGGAGGCCTTGCCTCAGCTGGGCTCTCGCGGGGAGAGTCAGCACTTGCCGGAACGGCGTAGGCGTCCATACGACGCCGGCGTCCACAACGCGAACGTTTACGTTCACCGCCCATCGGTCGATCTCGAAGAGATGATCCACCTTGTGGATAGGTAAGCGCAATCACTGTTGCCGCACGACCAGGTCTCGGACCTTGAGTGTCCAGGCGCTCGGCTGAACGCTCAGCTTGCCTTGCTCCTGCAGCTCGAGCACTTCGCTCCGCGACCTGTGGCTCTGCCACGTGCTGTTGATCAGCCATCTGTGGATCCACCACTTGCTGTCGTTCAGCCTCCCGTGGCTCTACCACCTGCTGCCCTGCAGCTGTCCGTGGCCCAGCCACCGTTGGTGCCAACGCCTCCGCGCTCACCTGAGCAGGGTCTTGGTATGGCTTAAGCAAGCCAATATAGAAGACCGGATGCGTGCGCATCTTCTTCGGAAGGCTGAGCGTATACGCTAGGCCCTTCCTGGCCACGACCTTGAACGGTCCTATGAACCGAGGTCTCAGCTTCGCCTTGAAGACTGCAGACACTGCATGAGTAGGTAGGTTTTTAGCGTATAATAAAATTTGGTCACCGACCTCAAACCTCTCAACATTGCTTCTGCCCTTGGCATCTGCACGTTCCTTCTGCGTGTCTTGGCTTTCAGCCATAGCGTCGCGTACTTGACGCATTACGCTCAGTCTCAAAGCGACAAAGTCATCGACTTGCTTACGAGCCGCAACAGGGCTGACATCAGCAAGCCGCTCGGCTACCCCTCCCCCATCAAGCCCTGAGCCACTGCGTGGCGGCGTCAGTGGGACGCGAGGGTTAACCAAGCCGTTCACATTGAACGGAGTGTAGCCAGTCGAGGCGTGCACTGCATTATTTAATGCGAACTCAACGAGTGGGAGCATCTGGCTCCAGCGTTTTGGCACCTCAGCGCATACGCTTCGGAGGATATCCTTCACAACGCGATTCACGCGTTCGGTTTGACCATCGGTCTGCGGATGGTCCGCTGTGGATATGTCCAAACGAGTGCCGAGCACTCTGAAGAGGGACGTCCAGAACTTCGCGGTGAAGCGCGGGTCTCGATCCGAGACAATTGCTTCAGGCAAGCCATGTTGGCGAAAGACTCGGTCTAAAAACAGCAAAGCTGTACCTTCACCATCAATGGTGTCCGGCACCACCGCTAAATGAGCCATCTGGCTCAATCGGTCTACAAAGACCACAATACCCGTGTTTCCCGCCTTATCCTTGGGAAGGCCATACACAAAGTCCATACTCATGGACTGCCAACATCCCTTGGGGACAGGCAAACTCGCCAATGGCGCTGCCGTGCTCGGCGCGGACTTTGTCCTTTGACACGTCTCACACGTACGTACATAGGTGCCGGCCCACTTATACAGCTTGGGCCACCAGTACATCGAGCACTTCGAGCCAGAGGTCTTCTCCCGACCTAAGTGCCCGCCCACGGTCGTATCATGAACCTCATAGAGGATTCGATACTTTGGATCCTCATCATGAGGAACGACTACACGAGGGTTATCCTGAGAGTCGGTGCTGTAGTACAGCAGGCCGCCATCGAGCGAGTATCGATGCAGCCTCACGCGTAAGCGCCCAGACAGTTCCTTATTAGAGGCTTTAAACTCTTCGCTCCCAAGAGCCCGTAGCAGCGCTACGCACATGTCGTCTTGTGCATACGCTCCGCGTATCAAGTCAGGCACTGACGACGTCACTGTCGTGATATGAGCTAACACGTAGTCGAGCCTGCGCGAGAGCGCATCGGCCACTACATTAAGCCGCCCCGGGTTGTACTTCACCTCGAAGTTATACTCGGCAAAGAAGGAAAGCCATCTTGCCATTCTCTGAGAGAGATGAGGCGACTGTGTCGCAGTGCGTAGCGACGCATGATCAGTAAAGATCACAAAAGTCTTAGCGCCTAGCAGATGTACCCTGAATTTGACTAGAGCATACTTCACTGCAAGTAGCTCTTTGTCATGAACTGGATAGTTCTTCTCTGCAGCTTTGAGCTGGCGAGACTCAAACGCAATCACGCGTTCACGCCCTTCGGCATCTGCTTGTAGTAAAGCACAACCGATTGCAAAATCGGAGGCGTCACAGACGACGCTAAACGGACTATCCGGGTCCGGTAGTGCAAGGATCGGAGCGTGGAGGAGGCTCTCCTTCACAGCCTCAAAGACTTCGTCGTGCTCGACGTTCCAGCACCATGGTGCGTCCTTCTTAAGGAGATCTGATAATGGCCGAGACATCTCCGCGTAGTTCGCGCTGTACTTGCGCAAGTAATTGGCTAAGCCTAGCCACTTGCGTAAGTCTTTTTGGTTCTTGGGAACCGGCCAGTCCACGATGGCCTTGACTTTGGCAGGATCTGCCCGTAAGCCACGCTTCCCAATGAAGCACCCGAGGAAAGGTATCTCCTTCGCGCCAAAGACGCACTTGTCCAAGTTGGCATACAACTTATTAGTGCGCATGCACTCGAGCACCGCTCGCAAGTGGTCAATGTGGTTATCCACGTCTGACTTTCCGTGCTCGGCACGACTATAAACGAATATATCGTCAAAGTACGTCTGAGCGTACGCCCGGTGGGGTTTAAACAACTGCGTCACAAGACGATTGAACGTTGCTGGTGCGTTCGACAGCCCCTGGGGCATCACCAGCCACTCCCAGAGCATACCGCTCGGAGTACTCACCGCTGTCAGCGGAATGTCGCTCGCTCTCATGAGCAATTGGTAGTAACCATCGACCAAGTCGAGCGCGCTGTACAACGTACAGCCTATCATGTTGTTCTGCAGAACATCCTTGCGAGGAATCGGCGTTTGCGCCGAGATAGTGGCCGCATTTAGCTTGTTAAAAGCATAAACAATGCGCCACTTGCCGTTCGGCTTTCTGACACAGAACGTGGGTGTCGAGTGCGGAGACTTACTCTCACGCACCATCCCTGCCTCGTGCTTCGCACGGAAGAATGCGTCAATGACGTCACACTGCTCTCTCGGCAACGGTCATTGCCTTGTCACGCAGTATTTGCTCCAGGAACCAGGTCAATCTCATGACACACCCCTCGATCCGGAGGCAGGCCCATCGGTGGGTCTTTCGAGACAACGTCTCCATACTCCTTCACCACAGGATAGAAGGGATCCGAAGGATCTTTGAGGATCGCCGATCCACTTCTGGCGCTCAGCGCCTTCTTGATGTCCTCTAGGACAGCGTTGTCCACGACGGATGAGGAGTTCAACTCCTCCTCAGGTCCTAGCAGGACCACCTCGGCTAGCTCGCCTGCCTTTAAGGCTTCGCCAAACTCGGCAATGAACATCTCGTCCAGCTCTAGCAGAGCATCTGCAGCGGGCAGAGTGTCAAGGTTGATGTCGCCTTCTACCTCCCCCGTCACTCCGTTTACGAGTGTGTACAGCTGCTCACAGCAATGACGTGGAGCATCACCGCTCGTCACGTTGGACACCTCGTCCGACGTCGAAGACGTCACAGACGCCCTACGTCTTCTTCTCCCCTCCCTCCGCGACCGAGCCCGGCCGGATGAGGGCGGTGTGGCGACATCTCCGTCACCACCACCGGGTGCAGCAGCACCATCACTCCTCGAAGAGGATACAGTGTCTCGCAAGACACTCGGCTGAAAGCCAAGAGGTCCTTGACCTTCACACAGTGAACTAGGTGTCACTTCACCTGCATCGCCTGGGCCACGCCCATGATGCCTCGACTCGCAGGCGACCGCGACCCTCGGGCCATGCAGCGGTAGGTCATCGACCAGATTCGTACCACTCAGTGGATTACGCGCCGCTACGCGCTCGTCCTCACCAGGACCCAGCAGTTGGTCATTGACCTGACCTGCACCGCTCAGCGGATAACGTAGCGCACCACGTACGCCCTCAGGGCAAACAGCAACCTCGTTGCGAACAATTTCGGACATACCAATGTCCAGCACTACGGCCGCCTTGGCCTCGTGCTCGCGCCAAACGCGCTTCTGCTTCCTAGCTAAGGTGGGCTCATGACTCACCAAAGCTCCACTAGGAGCAGGGTGCGACGCACCCAGCGTTTTCGACTTCCAGTCGGCTCATGGCGTTCCAGCCATGCCATGTCAATGATGAGGTCATACCTCGCATCCAGGTCTAAGACCAAACAGCGTTCCACGCTATCGAAGTTCTCAAACTTCACTTCAAGGTCGACAGAGACCTTCGACACAGTTACCAGTGTCCCCGTCGCGAGACGGACAGAGATCGTATCTCTCGTTGACACTTCCAGTGCCTCAGCATTCAGCTGACTCCCTTCCAGGGTGGATCGACGGGCGTAGTTGCCCGAGGCTCCCGAGTCAATAAAGACTCTCCATGGCTTTGTAAAGCCCTTCACGTTCGCTTGAACGACCAGCAAGCCCGGCTTGCACACACTCTTCTCGTAAGAGAGCTCAGCTCTCTTCGGGGCTGAGCCCCGTTGTCCTC